TCAAAAAAAAAAAAAAAAAAACCCCAGCAAAAAATGGTTAAGATCATGAATTTTATGCTTTGTGTATCACAATTACAAACTTTAAAAGCTCAAACTTGCCATCTTCTTGCTTCCACCTACCAGAGTGCCGGTTCTTCCTCCTTTTATGATTAGCCTTGCTCTGTAGTCATTATGGCTTCTAATTCATAGAATAGAAGTGACTTAGGCCAGTGCACAGGGTCCCTGTGATCCATTTGAGGACAAAGGATGTGTAGAATTTCCCATATAGTTTGAGGATATTGACTGGAGAGTTATAAAGAGGCCACAGAAGTTAGGATCAAAGCAATGGTTATGGTGAACATTGTGGAAGCGGTTCTCAAGATGTGCCTCAAAGAAAGGGATAGCCAGGCACAGGTGGCTGGTTACACAAGATCCCAGATGAGGGATTCAACATTAGCAGGAACTATAAAATCTGTCATGAAGGAATGGCTCACTGGTCTGCATACCAGCTCAGAAAATGCAGTCACAAGTCTGGTGAGTCCTAGAAGTACATTCCTTTCAATTAGTCTACTCTTCCTCTCCCTATTTCAACTGGGTGTAGAAGGAAATATTTTTTAGTCTTATGTTTAATGGAAATACAAGAACCCCCAAAATGAATTTGGTTTTGAATTAACTATTTCCCCAACATGCTTGATTTAAACCCAGTAATAAGGAAGAACCTTTAATTGGTAAGCACTTGCATTTTTTTTTCTGTACCATCAGTGAAAATACAGGTTCCAGAATATGAAGAGTAGTTTTAAGACCATTTGTTTTACCCATCTGCATTTGAGTAAGTAAATTTTAATGATACTCTACAATCCTTTCCACGTAAAATAAATAAAATGACTCGAGTTGTAACATTCTGATTCATCCATGGCTTCCAAACAAGGACTCCGTATTATACTGTACCATGAAAGTGTATTTTGTACTAACTGTTCCTGACCTATGGAACCACTGAGGAGGACATTCCTACACTGAAAGCCAATTACTCAGCTTCCTGAGGTTTGTTTAGTCATCTGATAATAGATGTACTGAAAAGAAAAAAGTTCATGGTTTTTCCTTTTCTTGTAAGAAATGTACAAATCATGCAAGTAGTCCCATATTACAGAATGACTACAAGTCAACTTTGACCATTTTATTTATTTATGGCCATTTTAAAGAAAGAGGCTTTTTCTGAAATATCTCCCTGAAGATAAAATTAGTTGCACCAGTACTGAGAATATTTGGGGGCCAAAGGTGACTTATTTATTTTAGGTCTTCTTGAACTACTTGCAGCAAGATTTTATAATTTTCACCATACATTGCATGTTTTGTCAGATTTATCTCTAATTCTTTCATATTTTTGGATGTATTATAAATTATATTTTTAAATTTTGAATGCTTATCACTAGTTAAATTTTATTTGCTATAGGCTTATTAAGCTCACTTAGTTTTGATAGCCTTTTATTTACACAGATAATCATACTGTTTGAATAAAGATGGTTTTCTTCTTTTCTAATTTAGATGGCTTTTATTTTTATTTTTTGACTTATTCCAATGTATATTGCCTCTAGTACAATGTTTAATAGAAGAAATAAATGCGGGCATCCTCATTTTCTCCCATTACAGTGAAACCATTCAGTCTTGTAATTTTCTCCATGTGTGTTTTTTTTTTTTTTTGGTAGCTACTTTTGATTAGATTGAGTAATCTTTCATTCCTAATTTTCTGAGTTTTATAAGAAATGGATGTTAGATTCAAATGTTTATTCTGCAAGTATTGTGATAAACATGATTTTAAGTTTGTTAATATGGTAAATTACAGTACATTTCTTTTTCTAAAGGTAAATCAACCTGGCATTCCTGCAGTATATCCCACTTGGCCTTGTTATGATTTGATTTGCTAAAATTTTATTTAGAATTTTTGTATCTATGTTCATGAGATATACCAACTACTGGTTGTGGTTCTCTTGCAGTGTCTTTGGTTATCAAAGTAATACTGACTTTAAAGAATGAGTTCAGATGTAGTGTCTCTTTAACTTTCATGCAGAATTTGTATATTTGTAGTTTTTTTTTTTGAGACAGGGTCTCACTACATAGTTGAGACTGACCTGGAACTCACTATGTAGCCCAGGCTAGCCTCAAACTCATAGCAATCCTCCTGCCTCAGCCTTCTGAGTATTGGGATTATAAGCATGCGCCACCACACCCGGCCTCAATATTTGTATTTTTTTCTTAAATACTTGGTTGAATTTTACCAAGGAAGCCACTTGGCCTGTGACTTCTTTGTGGAATGGTTTTTAACAACAAGTTAAATTTGTTCACTAGAGATAGGATATTTCTTCATGGGTGAGCTTTAGAAGTTTGTATCTTTCAAGGAATTTTCCGATTTAATAAAAGACAACTTTAAAAGAATGAAGTTGTTCAAAACATTTCCTTATGATTATTTCAATAACTGTAGCGTCTGTAGTGAT